TTTCTATCAGTAAGCCTTCAATTACAACACTTCAAATTTCAGTGGACAAAACAAAGAAAATTCCATTTTTTAAGATTGGTGGATTAGTTCTAGTTATTAGCGTATTAATAGTGTATTTGTATCAAGTTAGAACAGGGTTATTGAGTTATGGGGTGTGGTGTTTGATGGGATGTTTTGTGTATTCAATTTATAAATTTTTAACTTCAATTAATAAAGGTTTGTTTTATTTTTTATTACAATTTTAAAGGGAGTCATGTATTTAATTCAAAAGTTACTATTATTGCTGATCAGTCTAAAGGAATTGAGTTGGTTAAAGAGTCAACATCTATTCCATATTCTAATATCGAATTTATTCCAAAAGAGGTACTAAACAATGTAATAATTCATGAACAAATCCAAATTTTTGTAGTAGAAACTTATCTTGCTTTAACTTTTAAGTCTAAAAATGTTAAATACGTTACAAAATTCCCTCCTTTAAAACCAATATTTTATGAATTCAATTTATCTATTAAACAGAAACAACTCATTTATCAATCACTTCATCAATTTTTAAAAACAATGAATTAATTTATTTTATATTTTTATTGTTTTGTTATGATTATCAGTCACATACAAGTTATTTAAATAATCAATCATATCTACAACTTATATTTTTTATTCTTTTATGACTTAGTGAAACAAAATTAATAAAAACACTCAAATTATTATCGTATTTCATACTCAAAACTTAATCGTTTTGTGACGTCCAAGAATTGTTTTGTATTAACAAGTCATATCTATTTTTTAATAAAATAACCAATTTTTTGTATTTACTTAAACTACTTTATCTATGGTTCTTTGAGGAGAAAAAGTAAATGGTTATCACTTCTATTTCTTTTATGTATAAAAACAACACTTGTTATTAAAAAAATAATTTGCTTATTGGCACTGATTAGCGTTGATTTATTCAATCAATATTCAACGAACAATAAATTTACTTAATGTTATGTCTTAAAATTTAACTTTATAAAACAATTATTGATACTTATTTACCACTAATTATAAAATAAAAAATCAAAATAAATAAATCATTATTTGACTCTTCTTTAACCAATGAATTTTATTAATTAGCTTTAACTGTTTCAACTTTCTTTTTAGCTAAGACATTCACACGTTCCACTTGATCAAATATCAATGAATTCCATGCTTCACACTCCTCTTTTGTTTCACATGAAAATTTATATGGAATTTGGTTTAGTTTGCAGCTGACCATATTCTTTACCATCTCACAATCTTCAATAAGGTATATTCCACTTCCTTCAGTAAATAAAGCGTCAATCTCTTTGGCAAATTGGAAGTCTTGTAACTGTTGATAATCACCAATTTTGTTAATTTCTTCTATAGCTTCTTCCATTACTTTTTCATCTCTAACTTCTTTTCCATGATACTTTTTGATCACAGTCCCAATCAATCTATCACTGAATAAAAAGAAGTAATTCCATTGCGTTGGTTTACTAACTAAATTGTTAGTTAAGTACATTGGCCCACAACATATAAATCTTCTTGATGGTAATATTCCAAAATCAGCATCAATCAAAGACAAAATAAATTCTACTTTATCATTCTCTTCAGATTGAATTTTAAGTGAATTAGCTCCTTCAGATGATTTTTTGGCTTCTTGATATGCTGTTTTCAATTTTTCTAATCCTTCATAATCTTTCCCTGTATCTTTTAACATATCTCGAATTAATAATTCATATCGTGGTATTCGTTGAATTGGTGTAATTAAATAAAACGATATGGCTTGAATACTCTTTGTTTCAGGATGTTCTTTCATATATTGTTCTTTAGCCTTTTCTTGTGCTTTAAGTAAATCTTTTTCTTTCTTTAAATGGTTTGTCATTTGTTCAAGATATTGTGGATATTTGTTAATATAACTAGATGCCATCTTTAAAAATTGTAAATTCTTAATAAATTTATCTCCAAATACTGGTAATGAATCTCCTTTAGCATTTGCTTGTCCTTCTTCCATCATTTCTAAAAATCTTTTATGTACATTAATAAGAGTAGAAATATCACTTTGTATTTTTTTAGCAATGGAAGACCATTCTTTATTATCACTCATTACAATTGGTTTTAAATATACTTCATTTAATATTTCAAGTCCTCTTAAATGGACTTTCTCTGAACTTGTCATCTCACTAACTACTCTTTTAAAGTGTTTTTTATTTTCATCTGTCATTGTTCTAGAATCTATTTGTTTGAAGAATTCTTCTATATTATTTGTACTTTGATCAGCATTAGACTCTAAAGTTTTAATAACGTTCTTCATAATATCACCATTGTTGATTAAAACTCCACCACTAGGTGCTTTATATTTTAGATACTCTGAATCTGGTTCGATAAATTTTTGTCTTAGTGTTGCAGTTGTTGAATGATTAGTGTTACTAGTGTCTATAGTGACATGTCTTTTTCTTCCTGCAATATTTTCTAATGTTTTTCTTCTTCCAACAATTTGGTCAAATAACACAGATTCCCAAACATCTCTTTCTTCTTCACTGTTAACAGCAAACTTACAATTTTCACATGTATTTCCCATAAACAAATTAATAACAAATGGAACCTCTTCTGTTCCTTTAGTTTGAACCAATTTCCAACCAGCGTTAACTTTCCATTCTTTTTCAGACTCAAACACACAATCAGCTAATCCATTAAAATCTTCCATATCCATAACCTTATTATAAACAAAATGTGCCATATCGCTATCCATCTTTTTAATACTTTCTCCATGTAACTTTTTCACTTTTGTTTGGACAAAAATATCTTTAAATAAGAAGAAATAGTATAAATCTTTTGGCTTGTCTTTTAGATTAGGTACAACAAACATTGGCCCACTACAAATGTATCTTCTTCCACTTGCATCTTTTGCTAATTCCTTTCCTCCTTTGATAATATCTCTCATAAGTAATACTTTATAATTCTCTTCAGATTGAATTTTAAGTGAATTAGCTCCTTCAGATGATTTTTTGGCTTCTTGATATGCTGTTTTCAATTTTTCTAATCCTTCATAATCTTTCCCTGTATCTTTTAACATATCTCGAATTAATAATTCATATCGTGGTATTCGTTGAATTGGTGTAATTAAATAGAAAGAAATAGCCTGAATATTTTTAACGTCAGGATGTTCTTTCATATATTGTTCTTTGGCTTTATTTTGAGCCTTAACAATATCTTTTTCTTTATTAGTCATAGTAGTCATTTGTTCAAGATATTGTGGATATTTGTTAATATAACTAGATGCCATCTTTAAAAATTGTAAATTCTTAATAAATTTATCTCCAAATACTGGTAATGAATCTCCTTTAGCATTTGCTTGTCCTTCTTCCATCATTTCTAAAAATCTTTTATGTACATTAATAAGAGTAGAAATATCACTTTGTATTTTTTTAGCAATGGAAGACCATTCTTTATTATCACTCATTACAATTGGTTTTAAATATACTTCATTTAATATTTCAAGTCCTCTTAAATGGACTTTCTCTGAACTTGTCATCTCACTAACTACTCTTTTAAAGTGTTTTTTATTTTCATCTGTCATTGTTCTAGAATCTATTTGTTTGAAGAATTCTTCTACAGTAGCACCAGTTTGATCGCTACTGTGACTCAGACCTTTGATGATCATTTTGATAATATCACCATTGGTGACTAATTTTCCACGAGATGATGTTTTAAATTCTAAAATAATATAAATACCAGTTAAATAATTTACTTTTATAACAATATTTATCTAATGAAATTAATAAACAAACTAACATAACTATCTTCCATTGGTTTGTTGAGTATTTCCATTTCTTTTTTTAATGCTTCCTTATCTTCCTTTGTTTCTTCATCTCTTCCCTTTTCTTTGTCTTTAGAATCTCTTACAAAAGAAGACTTTCTTTTATGTGAAAATACTAGAGATAAGTGTTCCTGCCTTTTTGTTTTATTTGTCCTTTCATGTTAAATGATTAACAAACCACTCATTTTATAAATTTTCAGTTCATAGTTTCCTTAGTTCTTTGATTGTTTCCACCTTATTTTCCCGATTTATTAGAATCTTTTCTCTTTTTTCCTTAATTAAAATAAGATTTTCTATTTTTATTTTTCACTATAAAAAACCTTTTCATTAACTCTTTAGAGTCTCATTTGTCATTTTTTCATAACGCTAAATTTTCATAAATAATAAATAACTAATATAGTATTAATAAAAATATAGTTTAATAGTATTAAAATTTACCAATTCTTTAATTCAACAACAGTGTTCTTTGTGAATATTTAATTGTACTTCAACAATTGGAGGTGGTTGAGGATATTTTACTCTATTTAAAAATCAATAATATTTTCAATTGAAAATGTAATATTTAAACAAAATAATAGTAAAAACAAACGAATTTTTTAAAGGATTTTTTGAACGTATCAATTCTTTAAACATTTCTTCAATTCCTATATTTTCTGATGCACTAGTTTCTTTATATAACCATCCTCTTTGATTAGCAAAAGACTTTCCTTGCTCTTCTGTAATAATTCTTTCTTGAACTTTATCAACTTTATTTCCAATGACCATTACAACAGCTTCATTTGCTTTATCACTGTCTTCTTGTTGATATTCATTCCACCACTTATCTAAATGAATAAAAGATTCTTCATTAGTAACGTCATAAACTAATAAACAAAAATCACTTCCACGATAAAATGATTTAATAACACTTTGATATTTTTCATGTCCTGCAGTATCCCAAATACTAAGTGAATATAATAATCCATCTACAATAATTTCTTTTTGTGATATATCTGACCCAATCGTAGATTTATAATCAGTTGAATATTCTGCATTAATGAATCTATTTATAATTGATGTTTTTCCAACAAATGAATCTCCAACAAGAATTATTTTAAATGTTTGTTGAGTCATATTATTTTTATTTAATGTTATTTAAGTTCTTTCTTCCTTCTTTTATTTAAAAAATTATTAAAATTTTTTATTTCTTCAATTCATTTTCTTTCAATTATCTTAAAGTTTCTTTCCTTCTTCAACCTTTTCAGCTCTTTGTCTTTCAAGATCTTTCTTCATTGGTCCCATACGTGCTTTCTTTTCGGTGGTAGTTTGGAATCTAGAATGTCCGTATTTAGATGATGTATCAATGAATTTAAGAACAATTTGTTCTTGAGCTGTTCTAGTGGTTGATGGGAAGCATGCTTTTCTTAATGAAATAACTCTTCTTCTAATACCAGCTACTGTTCCTTTGATCATCAAGAAGTCATTCTTAACAACTCCGTAATGTGGGAATCCTCCCATTGGAGTAATACCTTTTTCTGTAATATCAAATTCAGTTTTAGCGTTCTTAAGATCACCACATCCAAGTCTGTAAATCTTTTTGTTAACTTCAGTTCTCTTGAAGAATCCCATTTGACCAGCTCTAGCAACTGTCCATGAGACTCTAGCTGGATGCCAAGCTCCAACACAAGCAACTTTTCTTAATCCTCTGTGGGTCTTTCTTGGAAGATGTCTTACACCAAATCTCTTAATAACACCATTGTATCCATGTCCTTTAGTAACTGAACATACATCAATACATTCATCAGTTCCAAAGACTGAGTTAACACTAATTTGTTTTTCAAGAAGTGAGACAGCAAAATCAACTTTTTCAGCAATTGATCCTCCATTAATTTGAATTTCCATAACTTCAGCTTTCTTTTGTTTTAATGGAACAAGTGCCATTTGAGTATGTGCAATTACTCTAACAACATCACATCTATTCTTAATTAATCTAATTTGTCTTTCTCTCTTTGATTTAGCTTTTACATCATTATATTTTTCAGTATGAACAGCAAATTGGTTTTTAGTATTTTTATACCATTTCTTAGTGTATCTTCTTTTGAATTCATCAGCAATATGTTCAGCAAAAACAGCTGTAATTGGTTTAAGTCCAGTAGTAGTCTTTTTATATCCAACAAATCCTGCAACAACCATTGGTGGTGTTTCAATAATAGTAACTGGTTCTAAAACTCCATCTTTTGGAAGTTTAGTGTTGGTTCTCTTAACTTCACGAATAACATGAGTCATACCAGCTTTGAATCCAAGGAATCCAGTAAGATGTGGTTTTTCAGCAGCATTATCTTTTGGGAAAGCAGAAACAGTAGCTCTTACTTTATGAACTCTCTTTCTTGGATGGAAAGCAAGTGATCCGTGTCTTGGTGCTTCAAACTTTCTGTGTGACATAGAGCCCCGAACAACTAATTTTTTAGTTACTTGTGGTTTTAATTTGAAGGGTTTTTCTTTGTTTCATATTTTATTCATTAAAAAAAAAAAATAAGTTTCATAATTTTATTATAATTTTAGTTAATTTGATTATCTAAGTGATAAATAATAGAAAAGATTTAATCTTATCATTTTATCATTGTTCTTAAGAAAAGAATCAATTTGTAAAGTAAGAATAATTAATGTATTTAACAACTTCACTATTTGAATCAATAAAAAATCCATTAGAATTAAAAAGTGTTGATTATGATTCTCTTCCATTACCAGTTCAATTATCACCTTGTAAAACATTATTAATTGATTCATGTATTAATAGTTCTGAAATTCAAAATCATTTTCCATTATTTCAAATACGTGATATTTTTATATTACCTATTCAAGAATACTCTACAATTTATGGAAGTCCTATTTCTGAAGTACCATTTATTGAAACAACAAAATCATTATATAAAAATTGTAATTATATTTTTGAAAGAAAAGAATGTTTTAATTATTTATTTGCACAAATGAGAGAAGGTATTCAATGGGTTATTCAAAATAAAGATATATCAATACTCCAAATAATTTATGATACATTAATATATTTTTTACATCAAATTCAACATCAATTATTTTCTATAAAAAATTATTTTAATACAAATATTATGAGTACTAATGAACTTATTATTTATCGTATTGTTATCCAACTTTTACAATTATATATTGAACAAATAAAAATTTATCTTTATGAATGTCAAACATTTTTAACAACACAAAATATAACATATCCAATTACTGTATATTTAGTTGAATCTCTTGTTCCAACAACAATTATGAAAGGAAAAGAAATACAAATAAAAGTATTTTTATTATCAGGAACTTCAATTCATTTACCAACATTACAAATTGATTATCCTAATATTATTATTACATCATTAAATAATTGTTTACCTATTAATGAATATTTTGATTATGAAAAAAATAAATTCGAACCATATCCATTTTGTGGAGGATGTGTATTATGTTCAACATTTAATTGTACAACATTAAAAGGAACAAATAAAGAAAAAATAGAATTAAGAATTTCAGTATCAATTAATTTACCAAAAGAAGATGGAAATTTTATTACTACAACATTTTTATCAACAAATAAAAGAAAAATGATAATTATTACTAATAATTCTCAATGGTTTATTTCACAAAGTTCATTATTAAATGATGCAATATTTTCAAATTCTATATTATGTTCTGTTCCTATTGATAGATTATTCAATTATTTTAATTCTATTGCACTTCTTTCATTAGAATCACAAAGTAGACAAAAATTACCAAGTTTTGATTATGAACAAGCATATTATATAACTGATAAATATCTTCCATCTATTGGTTGTCCTCGTGGAGGATATATTAATGAAGAACGATGTTTATTTTGTATTGATCTTTTATTAAAATATTATGAAATATTAACAAAAAGTAGAACATTATATGTATTATATTCACAAGGATGTCTTTTTAGATTTATTGAAAAAAATGATTTAAGTGATTTACTTATTTTAGCACAAACTAAATTACCATTTAATTGTCTTGTTGTTGCTCTTGTTTTTGATGTTGAAATGAATTCCAAAATTACTTTACATTATATATTTGAATCAATACATTATGTTTCAAGAATTCATCATTTTAGAAAAACAGAATTGGCAAAAGAATTAAATGATATTTCAATGAAAACAAATAATGATATTGTACTTCTTCAATCAACTCAACCATTTCCTCCATTTACAGAAAGTACCTGTTTAAATTTTATTAACATGGAAGATTTATTAAATGGATATTCATTTGTTGAATAAAAATATTGAAAAAAAAAAAAAAAAGAACGCAATATTTTTTAAAAATTCATATTTTATTTATTTTTTTTATCTTCTTCCATTTTTTTATTATCACTTTCATCTTTCTTTTCTTCTTGAGATTGATTAGGTTTAATATTATCTTCTAATGACATTTTAATTGCTTTTTCAATTTCTTCTTCCATTGTTATTTCTTTCTGTTCTTCTTTTTTTGATTCATGAACATTTGTTGTTTGTAAATTTTCATAATCTGCTAATGATGCTGCAATAGCAGCTCTCAATGCTGCATCTTCATCATAGAACTCTGTTCCACCATTAACATCTCCCATTGATGCACGAATAGCAGCAGCATACTCTGGATCAAATTCTGGATCAAATGTATTTAATCCGCCATCTCTCATAATAATATTAGTTTTAGAAATCATATCAAGTAAAATATGTGGCCCTGCTGGAATTGTTACTAAAGTACAATCATCTCCCATTTGAGATGGAAATAGTTCAATAACTGGTGCATTATCAACAACCTCTCCAAATGAAACAATATCTAATGCAATATTACTTTTCTTTAATAAATTAACCATTGTTTGTGCTTCTTCTGAATTAATATTTAAAGGTGATCCAACAAATAAAATGATTCTTTGTGTATATATTTTGTCAACTCTATTAGCAAGTGCTAATTTAGCTACTAATAATGCTTGTTTAAAATCACTTGAACCACCAATTTTAGTTTCATGTAATCCACTTAAAATTTTTCCAAAGTCATTTGTAAGAGTAACAAGTATTCTCTTTCTATTTAAGGTGAGTTATGATATAGATATAAAGTTTAAATGTATTTTTTTTATTTTTTAATTAAAAAAAAACAAACGATTCACTTCCAGCAGCAATAAAACCAACATGATTTTCTGGATTTTTTCTTAGTCTTCCTGAAGTAATTGATTGAACTGCTTCAATCTGTGCTTCCATTCGACTTGGGGTATAATCTCCATTTCTCATATAATCCGATGTATCTATAACAATAATCGTTGCTTCTGGCATAAGTGTTTTGATGAATGAATATATTATTTTGAGATGAAAAAGAAAAATCACAGAGTAAATAACACAAAAGTTGTTGAAGTTTTACATAAAAAATATGTTTTTGTTTGAAAAGACAAAAATATAAAAATAGAAAGAAGAACAAGAAAAATCATTATACACAAACAATGAGCAATTCTCAAACAATAGAAATTTTAGTTAATAGACTTGAAAATGAAAAAACAATAATAAATGTTCCTAGTGTATTAACACTGAATGAATTAAAACATTTAATTTGTAATTCTCAAAAAGAAAGAGATAATACTGTTTGTTATTTGTTTAATATTGTAGAGTTTAATTAAAAAATAAAAGGGTTAATAAATTATATAGGAATTTACTATATTTCAAAATGGAGAACCATTAGAAAAAGAACAAGTTGAATTAAAAAATGGGGAAGAAATTGTTGTTGTTTATGTTTCAAAATATCAAAATAAAGATATTAATTTATTTGAAAAAACAGATATGACAATTGATGAAAGTGATAGAGAAGAACAACCTTTAAGTGAAGAAGAAATGATGCAAGTTTTTAATCATTTAACCCAACAACAAAAAGATGATATATTAATTCTAAGTGATGTTGGATTTGATCAACAAACTGCTGTTGTTGCTTATTGTATGTGTGCTGGAAATAAAGAAGTCGCTGTAAATATGTTATTAACTGGTGAAATTGCAATAGATATGAGAATCATTACTCAGTTTATGTGTAATAAATTTCCTAATGCTGTGAGAGAAGTTAGACCAACATTACTTACTCGCAGAAGAAACTTTAACACAAGAAATGAACACATGTTTGGAGTTGAAGATTTATTATTTAGAGCATTATTAAATGGTGGGAGACTTGAAGATATTCTCAATGGCTTTAGAGTGGTTGGTGGTTTAGAAGAAGAAAATAGAGATGAGAGTGGTGATGAGAATAATGATGAGAATAATGAAGAAGAAAATGAAGAAGAGAATGAAGAAGAAAACGGAGATATTAGTAATAGTGAAAATACGGAGTTGTGAAACAACATTCTTTAATAAAAAGATTTTAGTAATACACTATAACTTAGTTACATTTATTGTATTTGTTTATATTATTTTAAACAATAATCTTATACAAATTCATTTAGGACTTTTCATATATACTTTTTTAAATCAAAACCTATTCTATCTATTAAAAAGAATCAATGTGCAATGTTTTATTTGTATTTTCTTAAATGAGTCATGTATTTGTTTAGTTTATGTATTTGCAATGGTTATTTGATACCCTTCTATTTACTTAAAATTTTTAATAACGTTAATCTTTGAAATTGTATCTTCAATAAAATACTTTATTAGAGTTTTTTTCTATAAGTCATTCTTTAGTAATTAATATGAGTGATTGACTTTCATAATTCAATAATGACATAACACTTAACGTCATAGATAAATTACGAATTCATGTTTTGTAATTGTTGTTTTTAGAAAAAAGAATAACATGCACCATCAACACATAAAATAATAATTGGTTGTTCTTTATTTGGATTTGTTCATTAATATTCTTTGATTATTTTCTCTGTTTTTGTTTACTTCAATTGTTTTAGTTTCAAACAACTCAGATTATCAGAAATAGCATTTAACAGAAATAATATATTTTCACTTACTAATTGTTTTTAGAGCTTGAAATCATAATAAGCATTGGAATGATTATAAAATTATGATGTACGTTCATTATTTATATTCAAAACATTGAAGAATACTTAAAAGTGTTGTAGATTGTAAATAAACATGAAAGAGAGCTAAAATAAGTAACAACTATGTAAATAAGTTGTAGCCTCAACAAACAAAATAAATTGTTTATGAACATAACTAAATATAAAATATAACATATTCTTATTTAATTTTGATAAGAACAATGTGAAAGAAACACTGTAAATATTATAAAAATATACTTAAATTATCATGTTCTGTTTTAACTTCTTTTAAATTCTGTAATAGCAGTATATTGTTTGTATTTAACTAATTCATGCTAACTTATCATAGAATATGGTATTAAATAAAGTTGTAAATTATTAAGAAATGATAACAAAAGTATTGAGAATGAATAGTATAATAAAGAACTTAGTATTTACAGGCACATAAGATAAATAAATGATTTAGAGAACAATGTTATGGACAGCAAAATTATCAATGAAATCAAAAAATATGAATCAATCATTTGTACTTTCATTCAGTAATAATGATAACTAGATCTAATACTTGATGTATGTATACTATCATTTCAAATAACTCATATATTAGAAACATTTATTTTTGAATAATGATAATAATATATCAAAAGAAAGAATTAACTAAATATGCCATATTTGTTTTTATATTATAAAATGTTACATTTGAATTCTAATTAACTTAGATATGTAAAAATCATTAAGAAATGAATACTTACATTTAATGAGAAAAAGAAAATCTGAATTAAATATTTGATTATTAAAAAAGAGTAAATCTTCTAAAGTTAAAAAGAATGGAAATATAAATTATTGGAAAGAATGTAATTCATTTAATAACACTAAACAAAAGAAACTGTAAGATAAAAGAAATTACAAAAGATAATCAATTAAACAAAAAATAAAGACAAACAACAACATTAATTTAATAATAAAAATCATCAAATATAATCAAATATCTTTTTATTTATTTTTAAATAGATATTTAAACATAATTAAATAGATTTAACAAAGACATTTTTAGTAGAATATATATTTTGATAGAGGTATATCCATTTATGAATATATAATCAACTTACTTTATTGGTTTAACGATTTTTATTCTTATTAATTATACAATGTTATTTTCATGCTTTAAATAATTGTTTTCATTAACTGTATGATTTTATTAGAGTTTTATTTATTTTTATTCAATTAATTACACACTTTATCTTATTTTATATCCTTATCTTCATTCAAATATTTCAAACAAAATATCATTAATACTTTACAAACAATAAAAAGTATTTTTTAAATATCTAAAAAGTATTACCAAATACTTCATTTCCTTTTATTTTATTCTTCCATTAATGCACCCTATCTTATTAACTATTTTGTTATAACTTAAAATCATTTATTCTCACAATTTTATTCTTTACTAACATCTTCTATTTATTCTTTTATTCTCAACAATATCAGTTTTACAAACAGGACAATTAGATATCCATTGATGGAAACTGATGAAAAATTGTAAAAATCATACTCTCATGAAAATAACTTGATTAATGATTTATAAAACATGTATTCTCTGTTATATGATGTGCATAATAATAAACTCTTAAATAATAAACAAAATATTAACAAAACTCTAAATTTATATTCATGTAGTCAACCACATTATTTATTTGGTTGATGGATAAATTATCTATCATAATTTCTATTTGTATCTTGGTAATAATTAGAATACTATTACTTTTAATATACAAATAAGTTTGAATTAATAGTAAATAATCAACTATAAAATTAAAATCTATGATGATCCAGTTTGAATAATTATAATTTTATTTATTTTAAATGTCATATTGGTAATAATTAACTATATCTCAAATATTACTATTTATTTTTATATTAATTAACTGTTACAAAAAGATATTTTCTGAATATTTGACATTGTAGATTATCCAAACAATATTATTATGATATGTTTATATCAAATAACAGATATTATATAAATCATTACCAATAAAAATAGTGATAAAATGAATGTATTAATTATGTCTGTTTATTATAAAAAATAACAGCATATAATCATATTTTTATCTTTATTCGTGTTGTTTTATTTAATAGTATTTTATATCAATTTTATATCATTATTTCAGTTGTATTTAATGCTATCAATATTAAAACCTTCATAACTGTAATGTAATTTATAATAACTAATATCAATATACGATAAAAATAAATGATAAATTCATATTTTAATGAATTTGTTTACACTAAACTAAATAATTAATGGTTATGAATATTTGGTAAATCAATGACTATTAACTATCTATTTGATAATCAGTTCATTAAAAAAATTTATTTTAAATAAACAATTGTATTGTTATATTAGTTGATAAAAATTAATAAATTAGAATTTCATATATCATTCAATTATTTAAATAAAAATACTCTTTTATAAATAATGTTGATACATATAAGAGTACTTATTGATTGATAATCATAGTCTTTATAATAGTTAATTTAAAATGTATGTGTTACAGAAATTGTTAATTAAACGATAGTGTAAATAATAACTATGATTATTCTATGCATGAATAAATATAAAATAATAAAGAATAAAGAATAAGAATATTATTTTATTATTTATTTGAATTTAGTATTATTGTTTTTGATTTATATTATTATTATGTTAATCATTTTCTTTAATTTTGATTATATTTATTCATGTTTTATTATTTTATCATTTTTATCTTATTATCTTGGTTTTAATGAATTTATGTTGTTAGACTTTTTATTTCATAATCATTGTTTTATCAATGATAGAAAGAGAAGATAATAAAAAGATAAATAAAAGTAGAACTGTTCAGTATTAATATAATAATTAAAAATGAATTTCATTTGTTTATCATTCTTAATTTATTATTATATTCGAATATTATTCATGTGATTTAATTTATTATATTGTTTTCTTATCTTTCTATTTCAAAATAAAATGAATGAGAAATAAATGATTTCTTAAAATTTATATATTTTTATCATTATTTTATATAGTATTTATCATTTATTTATTATTTTCTCTTTCTTATTCATTATTTATTATTATGTTTGAATAAATTATTTTGAACTATTTAATTAAAAATATAATGATTAATGATTTATAAGATATTTATTTGTTCTTTATTTCAATGTATTTCATCATTTGAATTATTATTGTTGATGTTAGATTAAATGTTTGAAAAGAAGAAGAAATAAAAAGAAGAAAATCATGAACAATGAATGAAAAAAAGAAATAAAATAAACAAAATATAAACAAATTCAACAAAATAAAAGATGATAAAAGAAGAAATTATTTTATTTTAATAATGAATAGAATATTATATTTCAATTTTTAAAAAGAATAGACAATAATGATGATATAAAATGAAATAAAAAAGAAAATGATAGAAATACAAAATTAAATTAAATTCATTTAATTTCAATCAAAAGAAAAAATAAATAAATGAAAGAATAAAATGATATTATATTAACAAATATTTAATTTAATCAATCAAATAATACAATGAATTAAAATGAAATTAAAATAATATTTAAATTTATGAGATAAATCAAAAATAAAAAGATAAAAATAACAATTAAAAATAATAAAAAATAAATTATTTTTTAGAAAACAATAACAAAATAAATCCCAATAATTATTTTAATTAAAAGTATTTTTATTCATTATTATTTATTTAAATACAACACATACAAATAATAAGAACATTTCAATCAACTATCAAATAACATATAATTATAATTTAACTTATTTCTTTATTATTTTCATTTCATATGAAAGAATGATGAAATTAATAATAATGAATTGACTATTACAATTTATTATGTTATATTTCTTATTCTTCATATTTATTATTATTTTCTTGTTTCTTTATTATGACATTATCATTCTTTAAATTGTTATATCTCAAATTCTTTCAATTCCTTATTTACAACATTCACTATTCATTTAATTTTTCCTAGTTTCTGTTTTATTATGTAAAGTTGAATAATACTTTTAAATTGATTTAATTTCTATTATTTCTTAATTATTTTATTGTTCATCTCATTGTTTATTCTTTATTTGTATTTATTTAGTGTATGTTTGTTATTTAATTAATAATTTCAATTACTATTTTTTCACTTAGTTATGACCATTTTATTTCTTCTTCACTTTCTGCATTATTTATCGAATCTTCTTTTTTCTTTTGGTTCTTCATTATGTCTCTTTCCATCTCTCTTACGAATGTCATTCTCTTTTACTTTAATCCATTTATTGTGTTTATGAATGAAATCGTATTGGATTCCATATTTTCCGATTGATTGTGAAAAATCAACATGAATTCTACGTTCGTCAATAATGACATTATCCATCTTTTGATATGCATTTTCACACCCTTCTTTTGTTTCAAATTCAATAAACCCATATCCTAGTGATTTCTTGGTTTTCCTGTCTCTGATGATTTCAACACTTCTAATCTTACCATACTTTCTGAATATTTCTTCTAAGTCTTCTTCATTTGTGATTGGATTCATTTTACAAATGAATAACACATTTTCTGGTGGTTTGATTTCTGCAAATGGTAAATCCCCTATCATTTCAAGAACTTCTGCTCGACTCTTTGCTTCGTTTTCTTTGATTTTCTTTTCTGTATCAGAGTCAATTTTTTCTATCATTTCATTGATTTCTGGATGGTCATCAAGTATAAGTTCTGGTGCTTTTGGTTTAACAAATCCTTTTGGATCGTC